CCCCAAAACCCCAAAACCCCAAAACCCCATTGAAATGAAAAAATAATGAATTGAAAATAGGAAATGTTTTTGTAAGATTTAAATTTAAATTAATTTAAGAATTACTTGGGATATAAAAGCTAATACTCTTCTACGTTAGATCTGAATAGGTTTGTTATATTATAATATTTATATATTACTTCCTCATAATAACCTACTATCTAATAAATATGAGAGATTTCAAGACAGAACAAGAAGTAATGGAGCTCTACTAAGAGACTAAAAGAAAAATCATCATTTTTGAAGGAACTGTATATGATGTTGATAATTACATGGGATCTCATCCAGGCGGCTCTGATCTAATTGAAAAATACTTGGGCTAATGCATTGACACCCCATTCGAAGAAAATGGACATACAAACTCAGCTAGATTCATATTCAGAGATCTTGAAAAGGTTGGGTACATCGTTGGAGATGAGACTTAGAAAGGCGCAGATATCGCTAATACAAACATCAAGGGACTTGATGGATATCAACTCAAATCTACTTTGAAGCTAGATTATTCAAAAGGACTTTATTACTAAATGATTAAAGCTAATCTCAGCTGGGATGAGTATATAACGTTTATAAATGAACCAAAACATCTAGTTAATCCAATCAGAGACATCAAGCTATTTGAAAACCCATTTTTAGAGTTCTTCACAATGACTCCTTGGTGGGGTATTCCTTTGGGTTATATTGCTCCAATTGTTTACCATTCATACATTGCTGAAGTTACCTTTATCGAATACCTTCTATGCCTTTTTGGGGGAATCTTCTTTTGGACATTCGGTGAATATATCTTACACAGATTCCTATTCCACAGTGAAGACTACTGGCTACCAAATCACCCATTAGTACTTGCTCATCATTTCATGATCCATGGAATCCATCATGCTTACCCTCAGGATCGATATAGACTAGTATTCCCAGTTCTACCAGGTTACATCATACTTTACGGGATACTTACAAGACCTATTGATTTCGTATTAGAAGAGCATTATGCGAATGCTCTTAAAGCAGGCGTTATTCTTGGATACGTCATCTATGACATGATACACTACTTCCTTCATCATTCTTCTCCCAAGAAAGGGTATTTCAAGAATTTAAAGGTCTACCATATGTAACATCACTATAAGAATGGTTAATCAGGCTTCGGTGTCTCTTCTAAATTTTGGGACTATGTTTTCTTTACTAAAATCTAATGATCGAGAGAGTATTGTTGACTGTTAATAAAATTTGCTATCTTTATATTTTTCTCAACGTAAATACATAAAATGTTTCATTTTAATCCAAGAATCTATTCCTTGTCTCTAGCGTGAGTTTAACGGGGTTTTGGGGTTTTGGGGTTTTGGGGTTTTGGGGTTTTGGGG